CCAGTGTTGAAAGTGGTATGACAGTGTATTTTACTGATGTTAAGAGTCCTTGTACGTGGAGACAGTATGCTGTGGCAATTGAGTTGTGTTATTACGTTAGTGTCTCAATGAGCTGTGTGTGTGGTTACATGGAATTGGTGAACTGTGTGTCGCCATATTGACTGATATGGTTGATTTTCGTATGTAATGTTTTCGTGTCTCAATGCAGGTGATGATGCGTATGCTGAGACATTGGTGACACAACAGGCACATGTCTGTGCGAGTGATGTTTTATCGGACAAATCGTACTTCTTCAGAAGTATTTGCATGGTGAGAAAGTATTGTTTAATTGTTGTATGGTGACCAGTGGTTATCTACTGATATAAATTTTTGTTTTATAGGACGTTAATCAAAACCGGCAGCACCCAAACAATGGAAAGTTATGTGCTGAAGAATTTTGCATCGTCAAAGGATTGTCGGTACATTCATTTCCCCATATGCAAGCAAGCACACTGGGATGGGTGGTGAACGACGCAGAGGATGGAAGTTGGAAACATTTTAATCCAATGAGGCAACGTTCGTTTGAGGGTCAGATGTGCACTACAGTGAAACGCTTGTCCTGGTAAGGAACAACATGTAATTGTTTTTTAAATCAGGTCATGGATGTATTATGAGTTTAAATTTAAGTCAGATGGTTGTTTTGGTGTGTGATAGAAGGAATGTGTGTCAATTGTAATGAAGTGGTCGTTACAAGCAGATGGAATAGACGAGGTTAGCATTGGCTGAGACGTTCACCATTCCCTTCGAGGTTGTTAAACAAACTGCCCCACAAACAAAACACGACTCGTAAGTGAAACTGGTGGTTGGAACCGCAAGGTTTTTCCGTTGTTTACGAAAGTGATTGTGCAATGTAAATTGAACACTTAATTGTTTGGGTTTTCCGCAACGCAGGCTGGGATTGTGCGGTTATTGTTTGCGCGGTGGATGAGGCAGTACGTGCTTATTCATGGTTGTGTGTAGGGCGTTCATTGCCAAGGTACCAACGACATCGTGTTGAAAAGGCAAACATGGTTAATGGATTTTGTGAACGAACATAATCAGGGTTTAACATTTCCACCTGAATGTATTTTTAAGCGTCATATGAAAACAATATCATAGCAGTTATATATTTGTTGATTAGCAAGTGTAGTATACATGGATTTGTTTTTGTGAACGTACTGTTAACTATCCAATATTAATTTGGTAGTCAAATACGATGGTCGGGGTTACGTAAATGTGTTGTGTTTTTTTTGTGACTTGTGCATACTTGCATGGGCACTGTGTTTATGTAAGCTTGGTATTTTAGGAAAATTATAGTTATGAATGAAAATGCACATGAATACTGTCTGGTGATTGTTGTTAGAGCAAGTGAGTATTTGTCTGGTGCATAGTAAATGGTTGGTTAGGTATGTTGAACAACAACAGTCTGTGTGGAAAAACAAAAATATGGGGTCGTGTCTGGTTTCTACATATAGGTTGGTTAGATAAATGTTTATGCTGGGGTAATGCGTGAAACCATGTTGCGTGTTGAGGTTATGGTTGTTACGGATTGTGACGATCATACGTGTTGGAGTAAGTGAAGAAGGTGATTTGTGGTGTTGTAGCTTTTTGAAGGTGTGGTATTATAGTTGGTGAAATGTGTGTCGTGATGCAGGTGTGATGTTGTTAACATACCGTGTTTCTGAAAATGTGCGTGAATGGACCACATATCTGGACTTCAATGATCCATAGCAACCAATATTTACAAAAACGAAAAACGATACATACGCACTGTTTTGTAAAAATATTTTTGGAAAATGTAAAAATAGTCGAAGTAATAGGAAAATAGTTTGGGTAAACTGTTAAGCTTTGGGATTGTGTCTGATCCAATAATTTGGTCGGAGCTTAACATAATGAAGAACAACGTAAATAACGAAGAACGACACACTCATGGGGATTGGCTATATCGTCCGCTTTGTAGGTACAGTGGACTATCACACTTTATTTTAGACAGCTGTATAAGAGGGAATATATAAAGGCATATCCAACTCCGAATCACACAATCACTACTAGGGTAACTGGAAAAACAGTAAAGGCATACTGTTTCGCACTTTATTGCGGTGAACGGGCCTATAGATTTGGAGATGTTCTTTACAGAGACGGCAATGTATACGTAGATCCTGAGAGTGTCAGCATCGCTCTGCATAGGCAACACACTACATGCAAGCGGTTTTTGAGTTTGGGAACACGGCAGGTCACGCATGGTACCGGAGACGGCATTCTATATATAATACGCGATGGCGGCTTCGTTCCACGCGAGACACACCACAGGGATTCACCTCCGTTATGACGGTGGTTTCCTTTGAGACACTTCCCCCGGTTGGTGGGTTCGACAGAGGGGTCGGGTGAAAGCATTGTTAATAGTATATATCTTCAGTGTTGAAGGAAGATGGATAAAAGTTGGTATTAACGGGGTTTGAATACGGACTATGAAGCATATGAGTGCCACACTATCATGTCACGGACGACATGGTAATATGGTTCAACCAAAGTCATAACAAATCTCGTCCGCCTGTTACGGATTAGCGAACATCGCGTGTGCCACATGGAAGTTGTTTAAGTCTGCCACTAAAATGCACGAACACTTCGCAACTGCCAACTCCACAAGGTGACTGAATGGGTTATTAGGGTGAAAATGGAGCCTCGTATCACATCGCTCATTTGCATTGGCTGATAAGCCACGCCTTGCCTTTGTTGTATGCTTTTTACGCAACCGCGACTGCACGAATGTCCGGGGCAAAAACTCCAGGCCAGCACGGCTGCCTTACGTTGGTGTTTTGAACATTTCGGTCCATATTTTCGTCTAATACTGTCAAACAATCTTTGTGATTGGGAGGTGTCGTGCCTCACAAGATCCAGAGGTTGAATGACTCAGCGGTCGTTGGAACACATCTCGCCATACCCGATCACCCGATACATACAGAAAGAATGAAAATGTAAAGAAATATGTTTTCATGTAATTTGAATGAAGGAAATGCATTAAGCGCCTAACAAGATTTACGAATTTAATTTGGTGTAATATATTCCATGATTGGGTGCGTACCGAAAATGTAGGCATTTTGCCCAATACGCCGGAGGTAAATCTTCAAAAACACCGTTTGCCCACTTTGGTCGGGGCCCGATTCTTAAACCTTTCTAAGCTGATTGATGTTGTTACGGTCGATACGCCAAACGGCATTCACGAAATTTGCTTAGCACGCCGACACGGGGTGCATTCTTGTTGGTGTTATCGCATCTTGTCTTGCAAGTTTCATTGCAAATGTTTAAGCAGAAACATGGGTGGGCCAGCATGGAAATGTGAGGTTTGGAATAGATTCAGTATACCTGTGTGTCGTTTTTGAAATAAGATGTGTATTGTCTTGTCTGTTTTGACCACGTTCGCGAGGTGTTCCAAAAAACCAAAGCTAATTTAGTGGGTGTTCTCCGAGTCGACAAATTGCAAATTGCTAATAGGAATAAGACCTGTGTGCAAATTAATAGTGGGTTCAGTAAATGGGTAGGTACGCAAACATCAATTGAGTTTAAAAAAAAACAAACAAATTTTGCAATAACAGTGTGTGTGTTACGAATAAGCATAAACCTTGGGATTACCATCCTTTGCAGTAGCGAGCTAGCAAGGTTTCCTTGAATTTTCCCGTTCAAAAAGGTACCCGTCCAAGAATAGTAAAGGGCGACAATGATTGAAACCGCATCGATGCATGCTTTGAAATGATAATACAAATATCATATCAAACCAGTGATTTTGTTCATCATAGTCAATGTGATGTAACTGCTTCGGATGGTGTTTTCCATAACAGAATTACATATACACCGTAATTGATCGACAACAAATGGAAATGTGCACCGAACATCTCGCCCTTGCTTTACTCAACTCCCAACCAATGGTTTTTTTTCGATTGCGTCACCAAAAACCCTGTTTGAACTTCGCGTGGCATCGAGTTTCAACAACGACGTCAATATGTCAAACGGAAAGACCGTTGCAAGGGATACCATGTTTTCTAATATCGATATCAATTTTGTAATTTGACTGTATATATAATTCCAGAATCTTGACAAACAAACCAACATCGCATGTGTGAGACCATCGAATTTTGAGAACGGTACAGAATTAACCCAAATCATCAAACTGAAATGAAAATTGCAAACTTCATGGCGGCGTTTCGTACCATGGTACAACA